TTTTCGCAATTGTTAACGAGATATTAATTATTAAATATTGCCGAATATTGATCATTAATAATTTTTTACTCAAATACTGTCAACTTTACAAAAAAATAGCAAGAGACAAAAATTGCTTATTTTCTTCTCATAAAATTCTGAGAATTTTTTAATACCACATTTTCTCATGTTTGTAAAAATAATTATCAATAAGAAAATGCAGTATTAAAAAGTTGATAAAAATTTTGAAAAAATTCTTAGAGCTCTATGAGAAGAAAATAAACAATTTAAACAATCTCTTACTACTTTTCTATAAGGTTGATAATATTTGAGTAAAAAGTTATTGAATACTAATATTTGGTAATTTTTAATTAATGTTTCGTTAACTATTACGAAAATTACAAAATGATACAGTTCTTTTCGATTCAGTTTAATCCTCTCTATCTAAATACAAAAACGCTTGGCAAAATTTGTGGGATACCCTGTACATATATATCTATATAAGTTATCCTCTTTACAAAATACTATTGTTGAAATATGTAGATACTTCACTTTAACTTTATTGCACATGCTCTCGTCTGTAATAAGTAAACAACTGATGATATAAAAAAAAAATAAAGGTGTAGTTCATACATAGACCTTTTTCTCTGTGTCTTATGTGAAAATTATTTTAAACAAGTTCAATTCAATTGAGTGAAAATAATTATTTACCTACAACTTGAAGAAAGCCCACTTGGCTTATCATTGGATTGGTATTTACTTGGCACATATAATAACCCCGGTCATCCTGTTGTACACTATTAATATGAAGCAACCATGTTTTCTGATTGTCATGTGACACGGAAAACCTAGGTACTTTCACGACCACGTGCTTGTGAATAGTAAGCAGCATTTGGCGCCCAACGTGGATCCACGCCACCTGAAAATACAAAAGAAAAACAAATATTTAAAGATATTGTTAAGTAACTTTATATTGAAAAAAGATTTTAATTATGTCAATAAGATATATGTAATATAGAATGCATTTTGATAAGGTCTAACAGAATTTCTACTATTATAATTGGACTCGATATTTTATAATTAAAATTTTGATAGATTTAACTATATAAAAATTTGATTAGTATTTTCGATTGGATTTATATCTCTTCGAGTTACATTCACTAGACATTCTTTTCTTTCACTAGAATTGAAAAATTGTACTAATCTAATTATATACCAGAACAATACTAAATAAATTTAGTATTGTTCTGGTATATATTTATTTAACAGAACGAAATTAGTTATTTGATAATTTCTAGAAGAATTTTGATGTAATCATTTTTCTTACAGTCATAGGTAATAGAATCTGCCAGGTTTTCAACTAACGCGACCAGATTTTTTCCAGCGTATATATGTAATTATAATTACTATAAGTATGCTATGTCAAAATTATAATGTATTCTTAAATCAAATAATTTATAAACTTTTTATAAGTAAAATGAGATAAATTTTTTATTTATAACTTTTTATTAATGTTATAAATTTAGTTACTGTTTACATTTAATTAATCTCCTTTTCTTTCTCCTTTTCTATCTTCCTCTCTTTCTCTCTCTTAAGTTTGCGTTATATCAAGTTGCGTTATAAGTTTAATGTTCCCATTTCATAAATAGCAAAAGCACAAGTAAAATTAAGAAAGTTACTTTATAAAAGTAACTAGTTAGAAAGAGAGTTATGATTTTTTTTTTTTTTTAAATATGCTTACTGTTGCAAGTTGCCGATTCTGAAAAGTAATGTTATAGAGTTATTTAAAAAATAACGAGTCATTTCTTTTCCGTTACCTTTTTGTTAATTTTTTTATAATTCTTTGCATTGCTATTTTAAATATAAGAATCTTATATATTTCTAACAGTAGTTTCTAAATTATTTTATTTATTATACTAAATTGAAATTCGATTATATACTATGTGATTTATAATAAATTAACATGTGCATTTGTAATTCAAATTACAGGATCAATGTTACGTTTCACGTAACGTTTTCACATATCAAAAAGATTTCCTATCTTAATTCTTAATACAGACATTCACAGAGTGTAATAATCAGGGATAAAGATGTAATCACTGATTATTTACTGAACATTTCATTTGGCTAACTCATGTATTGACGAATAAATTTGATATAAATTAAGTAATTATTAAATTAGTTATTAGTTACCAAAAAATGCAAATAAATTAAACTTATAAATAATTATTCATAAATAAAAAAAGAGGAATAAAGTTGCAGTTACTGAAGAAAAGTAACTCTGAAGGCGCCTTCAAATAATCCTGAGCGGAAATTTATAAAGGCTTAATGTGCAATCAGGCCTCATCAGGAAATGATAAGATATACCCTAGTCGGAAATTCTCTAATCATATAGTGGTAGAATATCTTATATACATGACAGATTTCCTAATCTATAAACAATCGTTAACTTTATAATATCGCGCAGGATAGAATAACGTTTTTTTTTGCTAGATTCTTTCATTTCGTATAAAAAAGTAACTAAACGTAAAAAACGTAATGTCTACTGAATGTAATTTTGATTATTGAAGTTGAGGCTATTAAATTGAATAATTATAACTTATTAATTTTGTTCAGTTGCATTTTTATATCAAAAGAAATTAATATACATATAGTGTATAGTATTCGATGTAACAGCAAATGTAACAGACTGGATGTTCAGTTAAACTGCATAAATTTCTATCAGGGTTATATTGACCAGATATGTCACAACTATACATTCATTAATATTCAGTGCTTATGACTCATCGAAGTTATGATTTTGTTTCGATTGCAAAGATCAAGCATTGGATATGTGATGCAACTTTCGGATGGGTGACCATTTCAAAATACTATAAAATTAAATAAATACCATTAATTCCCAGAGGAAATTTTTTTCAGAGAGTTTTCTTAAAATTATAATTTTGTCGTGTATTCTGGAATATAATGCTAATCAATAATACGAGGTTCAAATGGCTGATATAAGGTTTGTTCGCGTCTCAAACTCCAACATGCTCCAATATGCTCCTACCATAGCTCCTATTCATTCTATTAAGTGCATTGGAATGAGTAAGAGCTATTACATCATGTTGGAGCATGCGATGTAAATAAACCTATAGTCGCGGTAAGGATCGATCTTGCTAAAAGATATGCACCTATAAAGAGCCATGAAATGTCATGTTGTTAAATGAGTCAACAAGTCCCTATCATTTAGCGTTCTAGTCGCGAATCTTGGGCAATGTGATCTTAATTACAACAAATAGATGAAGGGCAAAAGGCGAAAACATTCTGGCACCTAAAAGCGAGAGGAATCCAGCTAAGGGAGACAATTCTGAGAGAAAAATATCGACTCGCCAGGATTACTGGTATAAACAATGACAAAACAATTACGGATGTTACTATCCCAGTCAAGTCTACTAAGCCAGGCAATGACCTGAAAAATCCATCTTCTGAGAAGGCTGGTCTCATGGATTCTGAGCAGGAGAGGGAAGGAGGGAAAGGGGCAGAGAAAACTCTGAAAGAACTGTTGTTTGCTAAGAATGCTTTTAATAAAAGCTTGTTGACTTCGAGATCTTCTTCGATTAAAAAAGACTCAATACTAAAATTGAGTTCTAAATTTCAAGCTTCCTTGAAATGTAGATTGCGTTCTTCCTCGTTCAGAGATCTCTTCTAATGCAAGAAACAGCAAAGCCTCATATAAGTTCATCTTGCATACCGACGAAGGATATTATGTCATCTCACGGAACAAATAGTATTTGAGTTCAAATATATGGCAAAAAAAGATCATGAAATAGTTCTGATTGTAAAAACAAGTTAAGCTAAGCAGCTGGTTTAGTGCTCCGATACAAACTTCAAATAGATTTGAAAATGTTGAAAATGTGTGAGTCTGTAGATAATAAAATACCTAATATAAAAACTCCAAAACCTCCGCCAATTTACATCAATCGTGAGTAAACCACTAAGAACCTTGCTCAATGACATAATAAAGGATGAATATTGATCTTAAACTAAATCCTAAGAATAAACAAATATACATATAACATTAAACACTTGTTAAACTGTCGCATAGTTTTGGAGATATCTAAGAGATATCAGATACTCCAATGTGCTAACTGTCAAAGATATGGCCACACGCAAAGTTTTTGCTACCGTAATCCTAAATGTATCAAATGTGCAGGTTAACATCCAACTGCCCAAGAAAGAGTTCTTCCCTCTCAAGTAAAATGCGTTCTTTGTTTCGGAAATTACCCGGAAAATTTTAAAGGCTGTAAAGTCTTCAAAGAGAAAATCTTGCGAAATATGAGATATCCTACTCATAAGGCAAGGAAAATTCAAAATGACTGCAACCAGGCTGCAGTGAAATCGCGCGAAAATCTGCCGTTAATACTTAGCTCTAGATAATTCAACTCTAATACGGACAAACCTCCTCTTGGAAGGGCTAAACTGCCCACTCAAAACAATTAATAAGATTAACAAATTATTATTACAATTCATGAGCCAATTGTTAGCAGTCACAAAGTTGATTGCTGATCTAGTGACTAAAATTTCTTTAAATTCAATAGTTTAAAATTGGCTCTCTGAAATTCCAATGTTGCTAAATCGCATCGAAAAATTAAAGATTTTCCTCTATGTTCATAAAACTGATTATGCTCTTATCTGAGACGCATTTTACTGAAAGAAATCATATAAAAATGCCATATTATTGTGCCCACTACACAAATCATCCTGATGGAGTTATCCATGATGGAACCACTGTTCTCATAAAAATCATAACCAACATAAAACATCATCAAGTCAATTCTTATCATAGAGAACACTTATGAGCAACAAACATCATTGTGGAGGATTGAATCAGCCCTTACTATTTCTTCTGTTTATTGTCCACCGAAATATCACATTGTAAATGAACACTTTTCTATTTTCCTTAAGACTCTCGGGAAACGATTTGTGGATGGTGACTTTAATGTCAAACATACTCCTGGGAATCACGCCTAACTCTTTCCCGAGGTCGCGAGCTACTTAAGGCAGTTGAAACTCTTGGATTAAACTAAAAAATTATATCGTCAGAACATCCTTCTTATTGGCCTTCGAACAGGACTAAAACTTCCGGACCAAGACTTTCGGATTTATTTAATTTCTTAATAACAGAAGGCTTATCCGACAACTATATTAATTGCAAAACTTGCTTGGAATTATCATCCAATCATATCCCGCATTAATGACTGTGGCCAGTAAACTAATCAAAATAATATCTACTAATCAATAACTCTAGAAATATATGCTACCTAATAATAAAATTGATTGAGATTATTATCAATTATTATTACAAGTAAATGCATCAATACAAAGATAAGATTCAAGTCGAATAAGGATATAATATTTGCTGTCGAGCGTTTTAATTCCGTGGTGCAAAATGCTGCATGGAAATCAACTCCACCTATTCAAAGAAAAGAATATAGCCTAAAATTTTCCAAATCCGTTTCAAATAAAGTTTTACAGAAAAGATGGCTACGAAAAAATTGGCAACTAATTAGATATCTCTTCTTGAAAGCCGGTCAAAACTGGGCTCTCAAAGAACTAAAGTCCCTTCTCAATGCGGAAAAAAATCTTTTAAATTTGCAGCAATTGAATCCCTCTACTATGGACTATGTCCTTTGGAAGGCCCGCAAGAAACTGAAACACCAACAGTTGCTCTTTCTCTTCTGTAGCGAAAAAAACTGAGCTCGAAGAAATATCGAAAAGACTGAAACTTTCGCTAATCACTTGTACAAAATCTTTATATCATCCATATGAAGGCTCACCTGAACACTCAAATGTGTTGAGCACTTTAAACACATCCTGAGGAACAAATCCAATGTTTTTTAAAATCTGAGATTATCAAAAGACTAGATTATAAAAAAG